GTCCCAGTTAACATTCTGGCTAGCACTTTTTGGACTTACTGAAGTTTCTGAACACATTTCAAAGGCAGACCCATAAAGAATGTATTAGAGTATTCCAGCCGGGATACAACCAAGACATGTGTCACCATGGCCAAATCACACCTCTCCAGTAATGGGCACAGCTGGCACACTAGTTTTAACTGTGCAAAGATACTCTTGACTACTGCTGAAACCTGGGCATTCAGCCTCAGAGACAGATCCAGGAGCAAGCTGTGTATTTGTGTTTTTAGAGGGAGCACAACTCTATTCGGCAGAGGCTTAAGCCCTCTTCCTTGATCTGCCTTTTGATGGACTAGGAACATCTCTGTCTTATTCACCTCATCCAGTTTGTTACCAACATCAGACACTGATCTAAAGCTGAAACAGCTTCATTAGATTTCAATGGAAAGGAGAGATAGAGTTGGGTTTCTTCTACATACTGGTAACACTGAACCCCAAAATTCTGGACAGCAGTTTTGTGTAGATGTTAAATAACATGGGAGACAAAACGGAAGCCTGGGGACCCCACAACCTAGCAGCCAAGGTGTCAAACAAGAGTCCTCTAGCACCATCTTCTTGAGTTCTCTCCTCTAGGAAGTATGGGAGCTACCATAAAACAGTGCCTCCAAGTCTCATCCCAGAGGGACAGGCCAAAAGGATATCATGGGCAATGGTATCGAACACTCCTGAGAAGTGCACCAAAAACAACTACTAGCATAGCAAAGGAGAAAAGATGTTGGAAGTTGCAATCTACCAACACCTGGAACTTGACACATTCCTCAGCCTTGCTACATACTGTACATATTTTCCATTTCCGTCAGAAAGACTGGAACTACTACATCTGATCTGTTGATCATAATAAAGTATTCATTCACTGGAACTACAGCTGTGATAATCTATTTGTAATACTGTATTAGGGAACAATGACAGATGCTTTAAATCAGGTCAGTTTGCTTGCTTGTTTGTTTAGCTCAGCTATTTATCCATTAGTTGGCCTTCAGGGTCTCACACTGAGGTCCTTCACATTAGCTGGGATTTTATACTTTATTTTATAGTGGAGTTCAGACATGACCCTGGAGCTTTCTCTATGCAAAATGCATGCTTTGCCACAGATCTTCATACAAAACTAGCAAACCACATGCACAGAAAGCTCAGAAGGAATGGAAGATTAAGCAAGAAGATGCAAGCTACACATCCAGTGCTTTTTCAAAGCTCAACGCAGCTTGGTAGCAGCTATCATATTATTAGCAATTTGTGCAAAAATTTAAACAGAAGACCAAAACACAAGATCTTGCTAACTTGCAGGTGAGAATATTGTTGACATTCCTCATTCTTGTGTACAAAAAAGAAGTAAGCAAGAACTTACATTCCTCGAATGTAGTTTAAATATTTGCTTCTAAAATCAGAGCCTGGGACAGAATAGGGATTCTGTTGGTCAATCGCCCACCCTGCTGCTCAGCAATCTTACTTCTTGAGCTGGTGTTGAGGGTGGTATTGGAAGGTCTATTCCATGGCACTGGCAGTGGCGAGGAAGTCCTTCTTCTCTGCCACCATTGCATCTGCACAGAGTCACCCACTGGCTCAAAAGAAGAGAATGGACATCACAGTGTAGCTCACTGTGAAGAATTAGAACTTTGCAGACAAATTTGCCCAGATCAGCTCTGATTTGGGTGCTGTAGTTGATACAGGTCCTGTGACTGTAACTATGAATCCCTGCTTGCCCTATGTTAATGGTTGAATTCCTGTTTCTGCAGCTTGATGATGTGGACCAGTGAGGTGAAGGCTATCACATATCTGCTAGTCCCTTGCCTGTCCTGGAGTATCAAAACTGCCGTAAAAGGACTGGCCAAGTGGGCCCAAGGGGTAGGTAGTAAATGCCTCCTTGTGACAGGGTAGGATCCCAGCATGTTTAAAGGAGGAAATGGTGAGACCATTGTTGAAAAAGCCCTCCTTTGATTCCCACAATACTGAATAATTACTGATCTGTCTCTAATATTCCATTCTTGGATAAGATATTGGATCAGGTTGTGGTTTCTCAGGTTCCTGGATGAGGCAGATTATCTAGATCTATCTCACTCTGACTTCAAACCTTGTTATGGAAGAGAAATTGCTGTGATTGCCTTGGTGGATGACCTACACTGGGAACTGGACAAGGGGATGTTAAGAATGTCAGGAGAAGCCCTTCTCTTGGCCCCACCACCTTCACAGGAACATTTAGTGGGGGCACAGGAGAGGGCCTTCCCAGACTTTACAACCCCTTCCAAAGGAAGCTAAACTGTCCCCATCTTTCCTGTCATTCTTCTGTCCTTTCTCTTCAGGCAAGCTTCCTCTAGGTGACTGGCTGCATGAGCAGGCTTTTAAATGTTTTGTTTTACCTTACTGCTTGAAATGTGTTTTGGTGTTGCTTACATTTTTTTAGTATGGTATTTGTTTGATCCTGTATACTCGTCGGGTTCTTTCTAAGGAGAAAGGTGAGATAAAAATATTAGGAAGGAAGGAGACCCTTTGGCAAGAGTGTTATTGATATCCATGAAAAGTTTGTAGAACTTGCCATAGCTAAATTGCATCTAATTGATGAAGTGTTGGGACATATTTTAGGCACATGCCTAGTGATGCACCCAATTGAACAAGGAAAATCTTGTGACATTGGCTGCACTAAAAGAACATGAATTTCCCAAGATCAAACACTGGGTTTCTATGGATGAGAAACAAATTGGCAGAAATTATTTCTGGCAAGATTAGTTTGAAGAGTTATGCTGCATCTACATGTGATAAAAACAAAGGTCTCCTTCAGCTCCAGCTCTTTAGCGAGTGACACATTTCATTAACTAGCTACAATTGTTTTTGCAACAAACAACACAACTTTACATAAACTCCAATAGGATTTCCTTCCAACTTCACCATTCTATGATTCCATGATAGTGCTTGGATGAGATGGTCAGTCAATGGACTACAACCACTGCAACTGTTGACCCTCCTGGCTGGGGCTGATGGGAGTTGGAATCCAGCGAGATCCAGAGAGCCATAGGCTTTAGGGATGTTTCAGAAATTCTTTCTTTGTGGAATGACATTTTATGTCAGAGCACCCAGGCCAGTCTTGGTTTGTTTAGTTTTTCTTGGACTGTTTATATTTGTCTTGCTGTGCTAGGCTTTCGACGAGCTGTTAAATTTTGCTCTCTGGTTTCGTTTGAAGATGGATATGTTGTTCTTTTTAATTTGGCTGCTTTAAAGTTTGGTGTTGTTTCTGAAGTTGTCTATCATGGGGGTGGAGAGAGAGAGAGAAAGGCAAATCAGCTGTGTTAGATTAAATAGTATATTTCTATGCACATTTAACAGATCTTCATCGTTTAGACAAACGTGTGGGTTGGAACATAATTTATCCTTCAGATTTTGTACCTTTTTTTTTTCAAATTTTGCTGTGAAGTTGGGACTCAGAGCAGCAACATGTATTTAAAAATTCATGGACTCAGATGCATTCAGACATGCATATGTTTAGACAAAACATATTTGCAAATATTTAGATTGTGAGGCAATTATTTAAAAAATAGCAACTGTGGGGTAGTTGTTTACTTATCTGGCTGCGGAGCCGGAGGTTGGGAGTTTGATTCCCAATTGTGCCTCCTGCTAACTGAGGTAGCCTGTGTGGCCTTGGGCAAGCTGCACAGTCTCAGGGCACCCCCAGAAGAAGGGAATGGTAAGCCACTTCTGAGTACCCTCTACTTGGAAAATCCTGAAAAGGTTTGCCGTAAGTTAGAACTGATTTGACAGCACATGATTATGTACAAAAATGCATGTATTTGGAAGAATACATGAATGTGTACATTAGTTGCCATGCAAACATTCAAAAGGAAAGTTCTCAATATTTAGGAATAGCCAAACTTAATTCTAAAAGTTAAGTGTAGAAAAATATGAAAGTGAGCACAAGTGAAATTGTGATAGTCCATCAACCTTCAAGATTTTTAGGATTTTTAAAAGATCTTGTCTGAATGAACATAAGGTGTGGTCAGGGAAGAGAAAGAATACTCTGTACTCCTTTGAGGTCCAACGCGATAATATGGTAAAGAAATGAGTCTGCCACATTCTCATCAAAATTGTGCAATTACAAAGCCAGGGTTTGCTTTGAGCACAGTGAGTCCTGTAACCTAATGAACTGGTCTAAAAATAGCAGAAGAAAAAGCACCACTTTCACCTGAATTTGTATTACACAGATCCTCTTTTAATTATATTTGTACCCAGATTTAGTCATAACTATAACAAAGCCATTTCAATCCATGGGAGTTCTGTTAGTCATAACTAATGTTAAGTCCCATGGATTTAAATAGTCTACCCTATCTATAATTATATCTGGTCCCAACTCAATACATGCTTTATGGTGTTGACTAAAGAGCCACCTAACTAAGTAAATTAAGAAAGCATCTCTTTGTAAATACTAATTTATTTAATAAAAATACAAAAATATAAATATACACATATAAAAATATCATGAATCAACACACAGACTTTTTTTTACTCAATAAATATGGCAGTAATATTCATTCTTATTTTTAAGGAGTACTCAGATTACGTTATAAGATGGGTTATGTTATAAGATTGTTCCAAACAGTAGTAGGAAAAGTGAAGCAAAGTGTTCTTTTAGAAAAAGTTAAACTTTCCAACTCAATATTAAAGGCACAAAAAGCCTTTCTAGGTATCTTTTTCTTTTAAGTGCTGAATATCTTCTTTCCAACATCTTAGGCAGAGAGGGTGAAGTATAGTTTTTATTTTTATTTTTTTAAAAAAAATCTTAACCATTTTCATTCACGTTGACTTATTAAGCAAACTCTTACTGAGACAAACACCTATTTTTGTATTTTTCCAAGTAAGAGAATGTAGGCCACTTTTTCTAGTTACAGAGGAATGAATTCCATCAACACTGACCAAGTCACAAGATGCTTTCTTAGACCATGATACTGGGCTTTATGGTCTGGAGCTCCTGTCATGCAGGATAGCCTGGAGTCCATCATCTATTATTTCAAGGAATGTTCTCCATAGGTATTGGTACTCTATGCCCAGAGACATTGTAACTGAAAAGAATGGGGAAGCTGCTGTTCATGTAGAACCTATCTTCACTGGAACCGCTGGACTGGGGGAATCAGTCTTGGTCACTGTCATCTCCACCATACATGTCTGCTAATTTTTTAAACCGAGGCCCCCAGTCACTAAGGTAATCATAATCTTGGTTGCCGCCATCTGTTGTAAGTGATTCCAGTGAGCTAAGTGAATTTGCTATGGAATCATTCCCTTCATATGCATAGGTTGCTAAAGAATCATAAGGAGGTGCAGTTGGATCCAAATCATTTTCCTTTAGCCTTCTGTGGATAAAATCTTGCACATCAATGTTTTCCCAGAGAGGTGCAGTTCTTCTTATCTGGAAAATCGTTTCTGGCATGACATCTCTTCTCATTTTGTTCTCCTCTCTGGCTTCAGGATTTCTCAGTGTGCCAATGTCAAAGGCTTGGGTATCTTCTTCCCCACCTCCTTCATCATTGTAGGTCACAATATTGTCTCGGACGTCGTCCTTTGAAATGATCAAGGGCTCTTTCTTTCTCTGCCGCTTCATTGCTGCAAACAGCACAACCAAAACTGGAAGCAAAGAGAAAGCAGTGATGAGAAGGCCATTCAAGTAGGTGAACATGGAAAAGTACATTAAAAACATAAGGGAAAATGTACATATATCACTGATCACAATAGGAGAGATCAAAGTACATGCTTGACTCTCCCACTGAAATGAACCAGACCCAAGTAGGGATATAAATCCAGACTCATTTTGTCCTCAAAAAGTAAATGAGAGAATGTGAAAATATTTCTTCTCACAGAAGGAAGGCAAGATGTTTTTCATCATATTCTACACATGTTCAAGATCCCACTTTTGTTTAATGTTTATGTAAACATGTAAAAATTTACAAGTGCAATAATAGTTGTCATGTTGCATGGTCAGTGAAAGTAGTAGCCCTGGAAAGGTTGCAGTCAGTCAGTCAGTCAGTCCATCCTTTTGTGCTTGTTCAGTGTGAGTGTGTGCACACCCTTTTCACAAAGGAGAAAGGTATTATTTTCTCTTGAAGACATTTTTGCACACATTGTGGAAAACATGAAGAAAACTGTGTTTGATGTCTCGGTCCTGCATAAGATGTAAAACCTCATATAAAGCTGAAGAATTCTCAATAGACCATCTTGTTGTCTTGAGGCAGCCTGTCTTACACAAAAGCAAGACAAGAGACGAAATTTCTTTATATTCCCCCACTTCAACCCTATCCATTTTTCATAAGAGGATGGTTTGTTTATGTCAATGTCTCATCTAAGTAGGTAGGCAAAGTGCTGAACTGCTAAAGAATTCCACAGGAGTTGAGTAATGAACACATCAGAGAACAGAACAACCAGTCCAACTATTTAAATTCATTCTGGCTTTACATACGGATTACATACAGCTCCCTCTATGGACACAATACCACAATAACAATTGATGAATCCAGGTCTAGGAGTGCTGTGAACCCCTCTTGGTTTTAATCTGTACTCTGCAGGAGCTATCCCAGGTGCTGAACCTTAGCCACCAAATAGACCCAGTACCTTGGATAACTCTTGCAAAATTCAATCTGGGTGGATTTGAAGCACTTTTGACACTGGAATAACCAGTCCACCATTGCAAGAACCTGAGTCAATCAGGACTCCAGTCCTTGTGGAAGAACACCCTATGGCCATGTATCTATACACCTTCTTCAGATTAACACCAAACATGCAGTGGGTACGTGGAGAAGACTTGAAAAATTCCTTATCCTTACTGACATTATGAATCTCCACTTCCTGGCACTCTATACTGAGACCTCTGTCCAAACTACTGAGATACTGAGATTTACTGTCTCTCTCTCTCTCTCTCTCTCTCTCTCTCTCTCTCTCTGAGTGTGTGTGTGTGTGTGTGTGTACACACATGCACAAACACAGAGAGAGAGGGAGAGAGAGAGATAATGGATAAGGTGTCATCTTATCCATTGAAAATAATGCCTTGGTTTACGAAATTTTTCTGCAATATGAAGCAAGTTTACATTGCTCCTGGGAGATTTATATTGCCACCCCTGTGCATGCATTCCTATGGGAAACCTCGTTTCAGTTTGTGAAACATCCCAGAGAACGCATTAATTCCGTAAACCGAGGTACGCCTGCATATCCACGATATTGTATTTATTTAGTTAGTATGATTTATAGGCCACCTTTCTCTCAGTGAGGGAAGCTAAATCAGCATGGCCCAATGCCCTTTCCAGGGAGTCATACACCACACAGATGGAATTTTGTGCAGGAATGTTAATAATCCTGCCCAGATTTTTTTTTATTTTTTTTTTTTTTTTTGCAAGGGGGAGCACCCACAAAACATGTGAGAAATCCTGTGAAATTTCCTGTAAGCTTCCTCAGGAGTGGGTATAGGGACTTGCATAGAGAAATCTCACTGTAAGGAGAGAAAAAAAAGTTGGGTTTCTTTCTGTTTTGTTTTGTTTTTCACCTCTGTTTCTCATCAAGAGGGAAAAGCTGCGAGATCCACATGCTTCAGACACGGTGCTTGGCAGCCACGAGCTATGGCCAATATACATTGTATAGTTAGTTGCAAAGCTCTTTATGTACTCAACACTCACAGATACCTAACATCTGAAAGGAAAATATATTGTATGGAGAATCACAATAAACAACATTCCTGAAGCAAATCAACCAATGTATTTAGTTGCCTTATCTAGTCTGTTCTATTTATGTCATTTGTGTGCAACCCATTTTTTAAAGCAATACATTTCTTATACTATCCGTATAGAATAATGGCTGAATTTCTTTTTGCCTTATCTACAAAGAGTACTCTTGCTGGGTCTTCAGCCTCTACAGTTAGCTCTCTTTAGCACTCTTCAACATTGTTGTAAGCTGCAATGCATCAAGTGTCATACTTAAAGACTGGCACTTAACAGACTGATCTTTAGAGAAGGTGTCATCTTATTAGGAGATGTGATTTCTTTTGCCAATTTCAGTGTTTGGGCCTTTCATGAACTTGTCAGATCTCTCCATAAATTTAATCACTGCATTAAGCTTCAGGAGGTGCTACAATATGGCAGTGTGCTTTTCACTTCAGCTACTGCTATATAAAACAAACGGCTTGAAGTTGCTGTTCTCACCCACCCACCCTGAAATGCTGAACTACTTGGAGGAAAGGTGGGGCATACAGGAAATTAACTGACTAGTAGACAATTAGTATTAATTCGTTGATCCATTAATTGATAAGTTTATCAATTAATGTTAAGTGGCTTAAGCAAAGCACTGAGGAGACAAGGGAATTTTGTTGTTGCTTCCCTTGAAAGGGAAAGGAAATTGGTCTAGATAGTGCTAAGCAAGGTCACTTGAGATGTGGGGTGGTCAGTCACCTCAAATGACATATTATTCATTAAATAGAGATGCGCATGAACCATCAGTTCAGCAGTTCATCCCAGTTGGTTTACTGATGCAAGAAGTGTCCAGTCGTTCTGTGTCCTACTTCCTACAGAGGATGCCTACTCAAAGTCAGTGCCCGGAGGAAGCAAGGCAGGGAAGTGAGGATGCTGTCTCTAAATGGGTGCCTGCCGAAGGGGATGGGCTGCCAAACCAACAAACACCCGTTGCTGTGGTAAACTGAGACAAACGGTCAGACCAGAAGTTCATGCCCATCTCTAATGATGATCAAAACACTAAACCTTTTTTTCATCTTGCTGTTGCTTTGGGATTGAAAAAGTAAGAAGGCTAAGAAGCATCAAATGGTTTGATGGTAATTGGTCATGACTTCTGTAGACCTGGATTATGGGATGTTGAGAGCATGGGTCCTTGTGCAAATGTACTAGGTGAGCCACTTGAAGAAGTAACACATGAAAAGGGGAAGAAGTTGCTTACCCAGCAGAATAATGATGCACAGCAGGATGGCAATGAGTGCTCCTGTGCTGAGGCCTGCTGGAAGGAGCAAAGCTTCAGCATTGCAGGACTGCATGTTCCCCCGGCTGTCACAGGCACATACCCGGATCGTCAGTGTGCCGGTGCTACTTTGGATGGGGTAGTCGTTGTCAAATATTATCACTGGCAGGAGATAGGTGCTCATTTTATGCCGGTTGTATCCGTTTCTTCTGGTTATAATTCCTGCTGTGTTGTCTGAGCCAGAAGAAGAGGGACAAGGGAAAGCTACAATAAGAAGCTTTAAGTAAAGAGAAGAAGAAAGCATTTCTTGAGCCAATAATGAAAGCCTACCTTTGTTGTCAATAACAGAGAAGTTTGGATGGACCGTGTATTCTGGAACCAGCTCAAAAAAAAACTTGTGCCCACGAGGTGGCTCATCTTTGTCCATGGCACTGACAGTTTGTATGAGCTGCCAGGAAATAGTGTTACATGTCAGAAAAATGAAATAAAAACAACAACTTTTCACTCTAGTACACTTTGGTTTGAGATATAATACAAATCTACTTGCCCTCCCAGGTCCTGAAATGAAGACGCAAGACAGTGATATGGATTAAATACGGGCCACACTTTAGTAAATCAATGTCCGATTATATATATCATTATATATATCATTATCCTCATAAATTGAGGAGGCCTGCGGTAGTGCAGAGAAAGAATTGCATGGCATCCACGATACACTTATCGATACAATGGGCGAGTCCCAGGCCTCATGTTCCAGCTGTCTTGATGACAGGAGGAACCTGGCCGGCCTCTATTAAACACTCCAGACCTCGAGCCATCTTTACTTGATGACTGTCGGTCCGAAAGTGGCCCAGGGCATCTTCCCGCTGCCGGCCCTGTAAGCGCACGATCCGCAGAGCCGGTAGGTCTGATGCGCTGTTGGCTTAGCATAATTATCAAAGGGACACACCAAGACAACCAGTTTTTTCCCGCACTACCCACCAGTGTGACCGAGAATAACCACCAATCAAATGCCAACAACCCTTCTCCAGTGTGGGATAGGTGAAAAATCCCTCCATCCAATAGCCAATCAGGATAGAGGTCAAAAATTCCTATCCAGACCGATAAAGGTGACCATAAATCACACTAGAAAGAGGGTGGGCGGGTTGGTGCCTGAACAAGAAGGAGGACGCTTCAGGGGCTAGCGTTCCTTTAAGAAAACGCTAGCGCCCTCCCTCTCTGTCACGTGGCTGGAGCTATCTTGCATCCTTGGGAACCGGGTAAAGGGCAAAGCCGTTACATGTCAAGGATGTTGCAACATCCTTCCTGTGTCCAGAACCATTTAGGAGGAACCAGCCAATGGCCTTTTACTACAGTTGTCTGTAGTGAGACTCTTACAGTTAACCATGTATTAATCTGCCATAGCAGTTTTTAAACTGGGAGACAAATTTTAACTAGAGATAGGCACAAAATGAATCATGAAGAACAAAACCCCACAAATTGAGTCATTTTGTGGTTCATTTCAGGGCACTTCAGGGAAATGCACCTGTGCAGAACGAAATGGAACACTGAACTGTTACTGGCATTGGTGACTCTTGAGCTGACTCTCCTCTACAAACCCTTTAAATCTGGTGAAGGTTGGATTTGGGATAATGAGTTATAGCCCCCTAAAGCAGGTCCCACCAGGAAAGTGCACCAGCTGCTAAACAGCACTTTTCTGGGAGGACATGCTTTGTGGGGGCATAACTGAAACATCCCACATTCAGTCTTTGCCAAATTTAGAGGGGGTGAGAGGGGGAGTCAGCTGAAGACTTGCTGTAGGTTTGGTATCACTAACTCATGTGCGGGCCTTTCTACCACTTCCAGAAATCTAAATTGCATGAATTACAAAATGGTTTGCTTAGTCAGAAAGTTTGGGAAAGTTTTAAAAAGTTCATGGTTCATAGTCCGTGAACAGTAATGAACCACAAGCCATCACAAACTACAATTTTCCCATTGTTTGTGCCCATGTCTGTTCTTAATTTTTGGGTGGTTTGGTGCTTCCGTTATAATTATCAATTTGGCACAAGTAACACAATTTGCACAAGATGACAATAGCTGTTGCCCTGGACCTTTAAAGATTATCTGTACCACTGAAAATGTTGATGTCTTTTTGAACCACCAGCTAGCCATTCTGTGCTTGCTGTATATGTGTGTCTCAGGGCCTCTTCCCAATGTCAGAATAAATCAGCAGAGCACGGATATATAGTCATGTGGGCTTTAGCCCAAATCCTAAGTTTTCTGGTGGCATATCCTCACTCTGCCACTGCCAATGCTACTGTCTCACCCCTTCAGGAGTGTCCAATGGGGAGGGGAGGGGGAGAATGGAAAGAGAGGGGGAGAAGAATGAATGGGAAAGGGGCAAGATTTTTCTTCCTGGCAAACCCAGTACACACACAGAGAAGAGACACAGATTTAAAGTTATAGCAAGGAAGGTGTGATGGTGGTTTTCCTTCCTGGATGCAAAAACCCAGCATGAATCCCTATGAATTTTATATGCAGGATCACCCCAAATCACAAAAAACATTGTTCGCAGGCATTGATCACCATCGCTCCCCATGAATTTTATATATAGGATTACCCTAAATCACAAAAATATGTGTCCCAGGCATGCCTTGGATTGGTAGTCTGTGAGCACAGATGAGATCTATGATTTGATGGTGGTTTGGTGAGGATCTGATATAATTATGAAATCATGAAAGAGGAGGAAAGGAAAAGAAAGGCTGGGAAGAAAAAGAGGGAATGGAAATGAGTGGAATTGTAAAGAGAGGGTGGAAAGAAGAAGAAGAGGTGGAAAGGGAAATAGATGATGGAAAACGAAAGGGGTGGAAACAGAAAGAGGGCCATAGAGTGAGGGTGATCGTAGGTAACTGAGGAAGTAGAAAACAGAAAGGATTTGGTGGGGACAAGGAGAAGAAATTGGTTGAGGGATGGGGCAGAAGAGGAAGAAGGTGGTGAGAGATGAGAGGGGAGGGGAGGAAGGCTTGGCTTGGCTGGCTGCTGGCTGTCAAAACACACACACACAAACACAGAGCAGGAGTGTTCACATATGTGGAATTGATTCATTGGAATATGCTCCAAAATAAATGGACCTCTAGCAGGGAGCAGAGAAACTCATGAGTACGTGCCTCGTGTGTGCACTTAAATTTGTGTTATGTGTTTTTTTCAATAGAACGTGCATTTTATTTTCAGTGGGATTGAGCTGTCAACTTCAAACAGGAGAGAGAGTTGGAGAGAGAGTTTGTGCAAATAATGGAGGCCTCAGTGGGAAGAAACAATACTTGTGGTCTCACTCATGCCTGGTTGTGAAGGATCTCATGGATTTTGAAAATGTGTTCTTCAAGTGTGTTGTTTAAGTGTCTCATTGAATTGAGACAACCTAAATTGACAAGAATTTAGCAAGTATTCTCCAGAATTAAAGTGTTTAACATTGTGGTATAGACATCTCGATTTTCTAAATGCTTAAGGTGATACAGAGTTTTAGAACAGAAGACATATATAAAACATAATAATTTACAAGAAATGTGCATATCAATAGGACCCCACTGTGCCAAATCTCAATTAAAAGATAAAAGGATCCTTCGGGAATATTCTCACAAGCATAATTATTCTTAACCCACTGAAAGGATGGATGCTGTATTCTTTATTAGACCAAAAGGGTTGCTTTTGATGGCTAAACATTATCACAAAGTTTGGTTTGGAGCTCAAGAGCTACAAATCCTGGCAAGGCCATAATTCCTGTCCTCACTTCCTGTTAACAACTGAACACAAATTATTGCCTTTCCAGTTATCAAGGAGTGGTAGGGCTTCATGTATGGAGAGACACTCTTAGGTAGTCACCCTCTTACATGTTGTGTCTTTATTGGGTTTGGTCTGTTTTATTTTTCTCTTCATTCTTTCCCTGTTTCTTCATTTTTAATTCTGGCAGAACTCTAAATGTCGAATGTGAGAATCCACATCACCAATATGTGTATGTGTGTGCATATGCATGTATACTTACATGTGGTGAGCCTGTCTAAAGAAGACATTCCAAAGAAAGCATACCCTAACTTTAAATGTTAGGGTATGCACAATGTTAGGGTATATCACAAGGTTTCAGTGAGTAAATATGAGAGAAAACAGTCAATGAGGTAACTAGTTCCAAGCCATTAGAGGCTCTCTCTCTCTCTCTCTCTCTCTCTCTCTCTGTGTGTGTGTGTGTGTGTGTGAGAGAGAGAGAGAGAGAGAGATCGAGAGAGAGAGATCAAATTGGGCCAGTAAATTGGCAGCAAGTACAGATAGCAAAGCATTGGCATACTATAACTGCATCAGTCAGTCATACGTAAGAGTATAGCTGCGCTGCTTTGGTTTAGAGGATATTTCTGGAACATTTTCAAAGGTAGCCAGCCCTATGTGTAATGTACTGTTATGAGCCATAGGAAAAGTTAGCAAACCATTATTATTTATTGCAAGGTTACATCTGTAAAGGAAGATCTCAACTTCATATATCATGCTATGTGGTTTAGAAGGGTTCCAAGCAGGTAAGGTCACTATAACAAGAACGGGGGATCTTACAGAGAAACATACACTATGGACCTGATCTTTTAGTTTATGAGGAAGGCAACCCATCCAGAAAAAAGTGAACACCATAAACCAACCCCAGATAAACTGTCCTTAAACCAAGATTCCAAATTGTCTGAATTGAGTCTCATGTTGTTAGCATCTCATTCATTTCTCTATTCTAACCAAGCACTGGTTCAGCACACCAGCTGCCTACCTGTATGACATTAAAAGGAGAGGAATAACTCTCCTCATATTATTTGTGATTACTTGGAGAAATATGTTCCCCACAGGCACAATCTCATGCAGTCTGAAAGATCAGAAGATGTCTAAAGCCTTATCCAGGTGTTTTTTTTAAAAATGGGGAGCTCTTTTGAAACCAGGAGCAAGGATAGAGTTCTAGCTCTAGCCTCCTGCCTAATACTGTTTCCGTGAGATGGTCAGTCTGCTACAGGTGGGACCTCTCCACATGATCAGGCACGCTGATTTTTTTTAGGAGTCCCAATTGTGTGGTGAGGCTTCATGTGCTGCTGAAGCTTTCTTCAAACAGTCCCTTTCCCTGTGAGGGTAGTGATGGCAGGGAGCAGGGCTGAGACCTTCTTCCTGCTCAGGATATGATTAACCCATTTGTCAACTGCTTGGCTAAGGCTTAAATGCCACTCTTGGTCTTTTCACCTTAAAAACTCTTTGTGTGCTTCCAGATGAAGCTTTTTCTCCAACAACCACTCTCCTTCATTCATAATTTTATTGAGAGGGGGGCATTCAATACAGTGTTGTCTTCATCTTGTAAACCTCCCCATTGCTATCTCATTGTTTCTGCCTTATCTTCTTTCAATCAAAATAAATTACAATAAAATAAAACATCAATAATTTCCTCACAGACAGAGAGAA